ACACCTGGGAACACACCTGAGTGTGCCTGGGGACACCTGGGGACGCCTGGGGACACACCTGAGTGTACTTGGGGACACCTGGGGACACCTGGGGACACCTGGGGACACCTGAGATACACCTGGGGACACACTTGAGTGTACTTGGGGACATTTGGGGACACGTGGGGACACACCTGGGGACACACCTGGGCACACCTGGGCACACCTGGGGACACACCTGGGCACACCTGGGGACACCTGGGGCACACCTGGGGCACACCTGGGCACACCTGGGCACACCTGGGGACACACCTGGGGACACCTGTGCAGGGCAGCTGGGGGGTCAGGCCTCAATGTCCCTGAGTGACCAAAAATGGCTCTGGATGTTCTCAGTGTCCACAAGAGCCATCGGTGCTTCCAACGTCCCCAACGTCCCCGGTGTCCCCAACGTCCCAAACTCCTCCAGTGTCCCCAACGTCCCCGGTGTCTCCAGTGTCCCAAACAAATCCAACGTCCCCGCTGTCCCCGCTGTCCCCAACGTCCCCAACGTCCCTGGTGTCCCAAATAAACCCAACGTCCCCGCTGTCCCCAACGTCCCCGCTGTCCCCGCTGTCCCCGCTGTCCCCGCTGTCCCCGCTGTCCCCAACGTCCCCGCTGTCCCCGGTGTCGCAGGCGCTGTGCGGGGCCGAGGACCCCGAGGACATCCGCGCGGCGTCGCAGGCGCAGGCGGAGCACGTGGCGGCGCTGGCCGAGTTCAGCGAGTCGCTGAGCCCCGAGGAGGGCGGCGCCGCCCCCGAGGGCCCCGAGGAGGAGCTGAGCAAGGCCGAGCAGGAGATCGCGGCCCTGGTGGAGCAGGTGAGCCCACACCTGGCCGTAGGTGAGCTCACACCTGGCCGCAGGTGAGCTCACACCTGGCCGCAGGTGAGCCCACACCTGGCCGCAGCTGAGCTCACACCTGGCCACAGCTGAGCTCACACCTGGCTGCAGGTGAGCTCACACCTGGCCACAGCTGAGCTCACACCTGGCCGCAGCTGAGCTCACATCTGGCCACAGGTGAGCTCACACCTGGCTGCAGGTGAGCTCACACCTGGCCGCAGCTGAGCTCACACCTGGCTGTAGGTGCGGCCCGCGAGTTCGGGTGATCCTGGGGTCCCAAACGAGGGGTCCTGGGGGGTCCTGGGGGTCCGTCTGAACCGGGGGGTTCTGGGGAGCTCCGGGGGGGTTTTGGGGGGCTCTGGGGGGGTTTTGGGGAGCTCTGGGGGGGTTTTGGGGAGCCCCCCGGTGCTGACCCCCCCGCAATTGCAGCTGACCCCCATCGAGCGTTACGCCATGAACTTCCTGGAGGCCTCGCTGGAGGACGTCAGCAGGGAGGAGCTGAAGCAAGCCGAGGTTTGGGGGGCACGATGGGGTTTGGGGGGGCACGATGGGGTTTGGGGGGGCTGTGATGGGGTTTGGGGGGTCCGGGGGGGCTTTTGGGGTTTCAGGAGTTGCTGTGGGGGTCTGAAGGGGTTTTGGGGGCTCTGGGAGGGGGCCCCGAGCAGTTTTGGGGAGTCCCGGGAGGGTTTAGGGGGGGACCCCAGGAAATTGGGGGAGGGGGCGTTTCAGAGCGGGTTTGGGGGGTCGCTTTAAACCC